CCACGTCAGAGCCTAGCAAGTTATTCACGTGTATCCGATTTTAGAGATGGCAGCAATATGAACCACTGATGGCGGTCACTAAAGGAAAGGCTTTGATAGGACACTACAGGGCACTCTTCGCGCGAGAGCGTCACCTGTCAGGTCCAGGGGCTCCTCCCTTTACAACTGGTCGATATTTAATTCATCAACATACTTATTATTCCAGCTGCCTACAAGGAAATAGTGGTTCATATTGCTGCCATCTCAAAATCGGATACACGTGAATAACTTGCTAGGCTCTGACGTGGTCGAAAAATTAGGCCGAATGGGTTAGTGGATAATGCACCTCTCAGAATCTGAATTGGACTGTTCAGAAAATCCACAGTTTTAGTGGAAGAGAATGACATTGTCTCAAAAAGAACTTCACTGAAGTTGAGGTAACGAGGGAATAGGCTCTGGATAGGGAAAGGAAGCTTCCAGTAACATGAATAGCGGACCCTTATGCGGCGCGATGCTTACACTAGAGAGAAGAAGTGAGAAAACGACTTTCATGGAAGAAAATCCATAGAAAAAAACTGCCCCAATAGTGCCAGTAATCGTAATCACCACTACCTTTCCCGCCGTCGTCAAAGGAGCGAAGTTTGACCTTGTTAGGGGAGCGCAGTGCACCGCGCTTTCTTATGGTTTGACGCAAAGCCTAGCACTTATTTTTTCCCTTCTTTGCACTTTTTCTCCGAGCAGGAATAAATTATGTCTCGTAATCAATTTGTAGAGTTATGCACAATTTGAGAAAAAAAACTGTCTGTCGCATTCCGCTTTTGAAATGAAAAGAATGAAACGCTGATTGGCCTGCAATCGGAAGCGCAACCAACACGGAACGATTATGCGTCACCAGCCTGACGAACAAAAAACGAGACAAAAATGCAGCGAGATGAAAGCAGACAACATGAGAGCACTTTGAACTACTTGGTTTTCCTGTGTACGTGCGGATGTTCGTGTACTTTCACAAGGAAGTTGTCCAAAACGAGTTCAGTGCTTTTTCAAAACTTTTCTCTGCATACTGCTGCACGGATGAGATGCAAAACTAAGCCAATTTAATAGCAATGAGTGAGACAAAGGAAGGCTTCATTGGGAAAGGAAAACACCAGTGGAAGCTGTAGCCAGGCCTGCGAAAGAAGAGAGTTGTGGTGTTTCCGCGGCAAAAAGAGCGCCATTCGTAGTTTAGTAGGCACCAGTCTGAAATCGGCCCGCCTTCTCTGGAACCTCTCCGCCTCTAAGCATAGAGTTGATGGAACGCAAGTGCTGGAGGCGAAGTACTTCCGAAGTCCTGCTCACCAACCGGCGCACATTTCGTAGTGAAAGCAACACACATCGCTCCCTTGGTAGCGCTCCCAGGCAACCAAGTGACTGCTTCGTGTGGCGCATATGCTTTCCCGATACGCCCCCCCCCCTTTATCGTAATCGCTTCCTTCGAATAGCGAGATCTAATCACAAGGTCCACAGCGTGAAATTCTATCCCCTCACCCTGTGTAGGTCCCAGTTTTATTGGTAAGTCAAGCTATTATCTGAAATGTGAATTTATTCTACGATTAATTGGCAGTGGCACCTACTGGCAGATACATACGCTAACAGTCATTTGTGGCTCTATGCATCGTGATTTACGAGCACATATGTCATATTTTCTGACATTAATAAAGGGGATTTGGGAAGAAGTGAAAAGGGGCAAACGCAAAAAAGCCGTTGATTAGCCCTTCTTTAAGCGCCATGAATACTACTTCCGTTTGAAACAGTAACCGCTTCTGCATACGATGTGACCTATACAATGACTTGCGGGTGAGCCGTTGGGGTCTTTATCCTTTCGGATGGGTCTGGTACCAAGTAACCGACACTAGAATTATGGGAGGTTAGTTGCTCTACACAAAATTGGATTCAGTACTTGACCACGGATGGAGGAAATGGCAACACTCGCCACTATACCGCCTCCGTATTTCTTAAATATAAGCAGGTGAGAAGAAAGTGTTCCGCGTCAAAAGATGCTCAAATCAGCTTACCGAGGCCCTGGACATTTTCCTTGTTGCCACCAATCACCTAGCGCTGCAATTTCGTTTTTCAAGCGAGAATAAATTTAACACAGTAGCCAAGCAAGCTGAGGCTCTTTGAACACAGGTATGGGTATCTAAAGCGCACGTTGCAAGTCTAACGTCACCTTCAAAAAGCGTGAAAATTGTTGAAATATATGGAAATTCCCTCAAACAAACTTAATTTTTTGGTTTTAAAAATTCCCTTCCCTTTGTAGACTCAACAAGTCACTGAGGAAAACCAGAATCCTCCAAACTTCGCAGTGTCGCCACAAACACCACTTTGATAAGAATTTCTCGCATTACAAGTACCACAAGGTAACCAATCAAGTCACAGGAGCATGCGCTGGATCAATTTTGGCATGGGCCT